TGCACTCACACACACACACAAGTGCACACTCACACACACTCACACGCGCGCGCGCACACACACACAAGTGCGCACACATACACACGTACACACGTGCACTCACACACACACACAAGTGCACACTCACACACACTCACACGCGCGCGCGCACACACACACAAGTGCGCACACATACACACGTACACACGTGCACTCACACACACACACAAGTGCGCACTCACACGCACTCACACGTGCACTCACACACACACACACGTGCACTCACACACACACACACGTGCACTCACACACACACACAAGTGCGCACTCACGCGCGCGCCAGCCGCTCGCTCCGCCAACTGCGTTGGGCACCGGGCGACTGGGTTGATAGCAGAGGTCGCAATCGGGTACCCGATACCCGTACCCTACCCGATAGCCGTACCCTACCCGATACCCGTAGCCTACCCGATACCCGTAGCCTACCCGATACCCGTAGCCTACCCGATACCCGTACCATACCCGATACCCGGCTACCCTACCCGATAGCCGTACCCTACCCGATACCCGTAGCCTACCCGATACCCGTACCCTACCCGATACCCGGCTACCCGTACCCGATACCCGGCTACCCGATACCCGTACCCTACCCGATACCCGTACCCTACCCGATACCCGTACCCTACCCGATACCCGTACCCTACCCGACACCCGTAACCTACCCGATACCCGTACCCTACCCGATACCCGGCTACCCGATACCCGTACCCTACCCGATAGCCGTTACCCTACCCGATACCCGTACCCTACCCGACACCCGTAACCTACCCGATACCCGTACCCTACCCGATACCCGGCTACCCGATACCCGTACCCTACCCGATAGCCGTACCCTACCCGATACCCGTACCCTACCCGATACCCGTACCTTACCCGATACCCGGCTACCCGATACCCGTACCCTACCCGATACCCGTACCCTACCCGATACCCGTACCTTACCCGATACCCGGCTACCCGATACCCGTACCCTACCCGATACCCAGCTACCCGGCTAACCCGTACCCGGCCGGGTACCCGTTTGCGACCCTGGTGCGGCCGGGTACGGGTAAGGAATCAAAACCCGCTTGCGGCTTCTGGTTGATAGCCGTCACGTGAAGCGGTCGTCACAGGAGTCACGGGGGAGGGGAGAGACTGCATGACACGACACGATCCACCCCCCCCACGCCACCGCCACCCACGGGCTAATAGCCCACGTGGTTAGATTTTACACTCCCGTTCAGTTTGTGCTAAAAACAAACAAGTATAACCAGTAAAAAGAAAGTTTTTCACTATAAATCCTTTATATGCGTGGCGGCTAGAGTCCTCTCGTCCTCTGGCTTGAGATGGCTGCCACCTATGGGTCAGATGATTGTCTGCCACCATTAAGCAATTGGTAATTAAATATTTTAAAAAAATTCCCCAAACAGTGTAAAATTTAGGACATTTTTTTTCACGAAAATTGTTACGCACAACGAGTCTGTGTGCAAAATGTCAGCTCGATTGGATCACGGGAAGTGGGTTAAAAAACGACCGAAAGATTTGCACGGTCCTAAGCAAGCAAGCGAACTTAATATAAAGGATAAAAAAAATGATCGCGAATAGTCGAAGCGCTGGGGGGGGGGGGGGGAGGTCTCGAGGTTTGCGTGAAACGAGTGTCATGTGAGAAAATGCCGAATGCATTCTTGCGTCTTTCGTATCGACACGCGCGCACGCACCGAGCCAACGCTCTGAACACGCGCGCACGCTCGGAGCGTTGATAAACACGAGCGCGGACCCACAGTGGAGAGATGCACCCGGTATACAGAAAGTCGTGGGTTCAATCCCGACACCCGCTGTATATTTGGAGTTAGCGTCTCTATAATACTGGTAGGAACCCACTGGTTACACCAGCCCACAGGGGATTATTGTGTCCGTCCGTTCGTCATGCAGGGAGAGGCTGGGTGGGGAGGGGCTGGTCACCCCGTGGTGCTCTTATAAAACTCAACGTTTCACCTACTCACGCCGGCTTGTGCCCGCCCTCAATCGGCCATATTTGCGGAATACACCACGCCGCCGTTGACCCTGGCCATTGACCGAGCAACCCAACGTTCCTACCAGCTCCCTCCACAGGAATGTGTTTATCATCACGGTGGCTAGGAGATGTTAACTGCCTTGCCTGGTGTACAGGAAGTCGTGGGTTCAATCCCGACCCCGACGCCTGCTGTATATTTGGAGTTTGCGTGCCTCTCTCCCCATGGTTGCGTAGTTTTTTTTCTACGGGTCGTCCGGTTTTTCCCTCCACATTTAGAAAAATGCCTTTCGAGTATTTGGCGGAAAACACGTTCCTTCGGAGTGGGCAGGTAGGAACTTGGTTGGACAGCGGATTCGTGCACGACAGACAAATTATCCCTGGTGGGCAGCGTGGAACCTGTTGTTCCTACCTGTATAAGTGTAGTGTATCGTGTCGTGTGTAGGTGAAACGTTGAGTTTTATAAGGGCACCACGTGGTGACCAGCCCCTCCCCACCAAGCCCCTCCCCTCCGACCCAGCCCCACCCAGCCCGTCCCTCCCCACCCCTCCCACCCCCCACCCTCCCCTCCCCATATGCACGACAGCGTGGAACCTGTTGTTCCTACCTGTATAAATTTCCACGTGATGAGCCACTTTGTTGAGCGATCGTTTGTGGCCAGGTCGCTTCTGAAAACGAGCTACATATATCAGTGGACCTTACCTGGTAAAACAATTAATAGTTTAGTAAAAATACGGCGGGTTTAACGACTCGTAGAATGCTACACGCGGTCTGCTTTCCCCGTTAAGGACTTGAGAAATCGCATGACAAGTCGAAAAATGGTAGGCCACCTCCGCTTAGCGCGGTTGGCCACGTACGGCGCGAAAAAAGTTCAACGAACTTACATGTGAACATTCGCCAAGAGTAAGGGCCATATATTGCCCACGTCAGCGTCCACGACTTGCCAAATTCTAAAATTACATCGCAGACGATTCCATTGCGATTACACATCAGCAGCAGCAGCCATCGCCCCCTACTGGCAGATTAATCGTCTCGGTCACTCTCGGACTCACCACGGTCGCTCATCACCAAGGTTCAACGAAATCCACATTAATCGTTTCACGTAATAACCGTTCGGCTTCGGCAACTGTTGTAAGTACGGTTAGCGAGCGCCTATTAAGGCTAAGAGGGCACGTGCGTGGTGCTTGGGGTGGTTGGGACTAAAACACATTGGGGGAGCACAGGCGGTCCGCATCGGGCCGGTCATCTCGGTCAGTCAACCCACGGCACCTCAAGTCTGTCCCGTGACTGACCTGCCAACAGCGAACCATCGACTCTTCACGTGTCCTCAAAGTGCACCTAGCCTGGCACAAGAGCCACATTGACGTCACGGCCACTTGGTGGCGAACGGCGGTTGTCGATGCTGTTACTCGTGGCGTGGGTGGGTGCCTTGGTCGCAACACATTCCACTCCAACTGGCAGTCACTATCTTCTTGGTTCTTTCGGTAAAGTCACGTAGTAGGGAAATAATACAATAATAAAAATAAAACATAAAATAATAAAAATAAAACATAATAAAATAATTCTCACGACGTTTCGGCCACAACGCAAGCAGCCATCCTCAGGTGGAGAGCAGGTCTGTCGGAAAGACAGCGTCTGAATGTCTTTCCGACAGACCTGTTCTTCACCTGAGGACGGCTGCTTGTGTTGTGGCCGAAACGTCGTGAGAATTGTATTTTATTATGTTTTATATTTTTATTATACTATTTCCCTTCTACGTGACTTTACCGAAAAATAAAACAGTAAAATCACGACGTTTCGGAGGCAACACAAGTCTCCGTCATCAGGTGGGACCGTCACAGCCAGATTTTACTGTTTTATTTGTATTAATTTGAATTTCATTTTTTATCTACGTGAATTTACCGAAAGAACCAAGAAGATGAATCCCTGCAGTCACGAAAGCTTTAAATCGAAATGGCAGTCACCATTTTACACAACCGTTCACCAACAACATCATTCGCAAAGAGACTACGAAATGTAAAACAAATACAACAATAAACCTTGCCGGCATATATTTTAGTTTATTTTAAAAAAAAATTCCCTCTCACAATTTTATTTATCAAATCACGACGTCGTCGCGTCCACGCAAACTGTGAAACCAGCCCGTGCCGAAATGTTGGTTTGATGCCCAAACAGCGTGGCCAATACGAACTCCCAAGATCATCCCCGACTTCAGAAATTCCAGGCGCAAAGTCTTCACAAAGACTCCTCTTGATCTAAAGACCCGTCCTCTCAAAAGTTGAGTCTCTCAAGACACCGACTCCGAAGCCGGGTCTCAACTCAAGACACCGATCTCATGCCTCCTAAGCCCTCAAGTAACTGGATCTTGAAACCCAGTCTCGAGACGCTGGTTCCTGACACCCAATCTCGAGCCACCAGTCTCTCAAGACAACGACCTTGACAAACAAGCTCCAAGACAACGTTGCTCGGACCTGGTCTCTCTCGCTCTCTCTCAAAATAAACGTAGACAACAATAACAACACAAAACCTGGATCAGAGTCTTTTGAGACGAAACCAATCCTTCAAAAACAAAAAACGCATCTGAAATTCCCCCTCCCCGTGACCAGCCCAGTCTACCCCCCCCCCCGGCCCACCCCCCCCACCACCGTCACCCCTCGCTCATCTCCACATCCTGCACTTTCTCCGTACTCCCATTCTGCTTCTCCGTTTCCGTGGCGGCCTCCCCGTTGTTCCTGGCGCCGCCATCTCCCTCTTTCCGCGTCCCCGCATCTTTCCCAGCGTCTTTCTCCGCGTCCCCCCCCTCCTTCTTCGAGTCTCCCTCTTTCTTGGCGTCCTCCTCCTTCTTGGCGTCTCCCCCCTCCTCTTTCTTGGCGTCCTCCCCCTCCTCCTCCGCGTCCCCCCCACCTCCGTTTCCGCTCTCCGCGGGGGCCGCCGTGTCCATGTCGTCTTGGGCGCTGGCGGAGGCTGCGGGGGTGGTGGCGCTAGCGGCGGCAGCCGCTGAACGGACGGACGGACACGACAGCAAGCGTGCGCGTTAAGAGACAGAGGCGAGACATGGCGGCGGCGCAGAGCACCTGGGTTCAAGCCCTGAACCAGGGCGTCGCGGTGGCTGGTTTAGAGGAGGTCGTGGGTTCGATCCCAACCCCTGATGCCTGCTGTATATTTAGAGTTTGCGTGTGTCTCTCTGTGGTGAAATGTTAACTACCTCGCCTGGTATGCAGGAGGTCGTGGGTTCAATCCCGACCCTGATGCTTGCTGCTGTATATTTGGAGTTTGAGTGTCTCTCTCTCTCTCTCATCATCATCACGGTGGCTAGATGTTAACTACCTCGCCTGGTACGCAGGAGGTCGTGGGTTCGATCCAGACCCTGACGCCTGCTGCTGTATATCAGAAGTTTGTGCGTTCTCCCCGGTTTTCCCTCCACATTTAGAAACATGCGTTTAAGAGCATTTGGCTGCTATGAATGTCCACATGATAAGCCACTTCGTTGAGCGATCATTTGTGGCCAGGTCGCGTCTGAAAAAGAGCTGCTTAGATATCTCAGTGGGCCTTACCTGGTAAAATAAATACTTTTAGATAAGTTGAGTCTAAATCTTTAACTCGGCAGATTCATAATGGCCGTGTTAATAACACTTGAGTCAGCAACACTAAAACATCCTGGGTTCAAGGCCTGGGCGTCTAAATCTGTATCCATGTGGGTTAACAACAGAGGTCGCAACCGGGTACCCGATACCCGTACCCTACCCGATACCCGGCTACCCGTTTGCGACCCTGGTGCGGCCGGGTACGGGTAAGGAATCAAAACCCGTTTGCAACCTCTGGTTAACAATGGCTGTGTCAGAGATACCGAGATTCCGGATTTGAATCTCGATGTTGGTCCTCCAGTGCTTAAAGCAGTCTGACGTCTCATCTCAGTCACCCGTCCCAAACGAGACGGCACAGAAGAGGCAAGATATGAGGAAACAGGACTGATGGAACGTATAAGACTAACAGAACAACACGGCAAGACACACCATGTGAGAAGGAGCGAATGATACGAGAGGATCTTCTTGATTCTTTCGGTAAAGTCACGTAGAAGGGAAATAATAAAATAATACAAATAAAACATAATAAATTGATATGCAAATTCCTTTGTCAAGGTGCTCTTCCCCCTTCCAACCCAGCTTAAATATACGCTGCCAAGCTTGGTGGTGTGTCATTCAGACGCTGTCTTTCCAACAGACCTGTTCTTCACCTGAGGACGGCTGCTTGCGTTGTGGCCGAAACGTCGTGAGAATTGTATTTAATGTTTTATTTTTATTATTTTATTATTTCCCTTCTACTTGACTTTACCGAAAGAGCCAAGAAGATGAATCCCTGCAGTCACGAAAGCTTTAAATCGAGATATGAGAGGACTTGACAGTGAAAATGCGACAGGCAGTACGAAAGAGACGGACAAAACGAACAGGACAGTACAAACGAGACAGGGGGGGGGGGGGGGGAGGGACAAGACACGAGTGCGGAATAGAACTTAAAGACATCCCAGGCAAAAATAGACATGGCAAGAAAGACAGAACGAGACAGTAGAGAACGAGCCAGGCAGAAGCAACAATAAGGACATTCTCAAATCCAACGGAGGCAGCTCATTGCATGCCAGAAGGGGAGTGAATGTTTACGAGGTTATTTGCGTGTGTGCGTGCGTGCATGTGCGCACGTGTGTGGGCGTACGTGTGTGCGTACATGTATGCGCGTGTGTGTGGACGTGGACTCAGCCTCAAATGAGTACCTGGTGCGGTGTGTAAACATCGCCACTGGGGAGACAAAGGCGGCCGGGCGTGGTGCTGGCCACCCACCCCCCCGTGTACCGTGCCGGCCTTCATAGGTGCTCGCTAACAGCACTTGCCCCTACAGTCTGCGCAGGCTATACAGGGATCTTTGTCTTGTGGGCACGTGTGTGGGCACGCGCGTGCGATAGGGGCAGCACCTGCTGGTTTCTCCTGGCCTGGAATGTGTCCGGCTTGCAGGAGGCTCTTCAGCCTCGTCACCTCCTCGAGAGACGACGCGTTTATTATCGCGGCCTGAGAAGAGACACGCGCGCACGATGACACACAAAGACCCCCCGTGTAGCCTTAACAGACTGTAGGGGCAAGTGCTGTTAGCGAGCACCTATGAAGGCCGGAACGGTACACGAGGGGGTGGGTGGCCATCACCACGCCCGACCGCCTTTGTCTCCCCAGTGGCGATGTTTAGACACCGCACCAGGTACTCATTTGAGGCTGAGTCGACCTAGGGGAGGCCCGGGACCGGTTCAGATTATCGTCACCGGTGTTAGCCGTGAGCGGGAATCGAACCCGGGTCGCCAGGTTCATAGCGCAGCGCGCTAACCGCTACACTACCACACACACACACACGCGCGGTCGATATCTACCACCGTTTCAGTCACTCTCAACACGTGGGTGACCGTGAAGAGGGCCGTCAACATCGGGTTCAAGGTTCGGGACTCGATCCACACACGCCCGCCGCCCTGGTCAGTACTGCACGTGCAGTCACCGCTAAAAAAATATACTCCTGCGCGCCATCTGCGTCACACGCTAGAAGTTAAAAAGATCCCGTAAGCCCATTGTGTGCCGGCGTCACGGTCCCACGTTTCGCTACCGTGTCCGTACGTAGAACGTCTTTGGCACCCACTACACGCAGTCAACCGTGCGAATCGGGAGGCAGCTTTATCTATAGTTACACCGCAATTTGCTATAATCGCAACACACTGCGATCGCGAGTAAATCAAGCCCCCCCCCACCCCCCGTGTCCATCGGCTACTTGGACAAAATTGACACGATCCCTCCTGGAAAAGGATCTTGAAGAGTCGGCAAGGCTTCCATGGGTCAACACGCGGAGCAAGAATAGAAAAACTATAGCAGCTCCTTGTAATCTGGCGTAGCATGGCAGTGGGGAGACGTGCCGTGTTTGGCGACACGTGCCGTGTTTGGTGACACGAGGGCACCGGGTGTGTGTCGTCAAGGAGCATAAACCGTGACGGCGGTGTGGTAGTGGTGGCATGGTAGTGTGGTGATGGTGGTGACGTGGCAGTGTGGTGGCGGTGTAGTGGTAGTGTGGAGTGGTGGTGGAGTGGTGGTGGTGGCGGTGTGGTGGTGTGGCAGGGTGGAAGCGTGGTGGCATAGTGTTATGGTGGCATGGCGGCGTTGCAGTGTGGTAGCATAGTGGCGTGGTAGTGAGGTAGTGGGGTGGTGTGGCGTGGCAGTGTGGTGGTGTGGCATTGTGGTGCTGTGGCAGTGACGCAGTGTGGCCGTGTGGATGTGTGGCAGGAAGGCGGTGTGGTGGTGGCGTGGTGGCATGGTAGTGTGGTGGCGGTGTGGTAGCGGTGTCGCATTGTGGTGGTGTGGCAGTGACGCAGTGTGGCCGTGTGGATGTGTGGCAGCAAGGCGGTGTGGTGGTGTAACAGGGTGGCCGTGTGGATGTGTGGCAGTAAGGCGGTGGGTGTGGTGGTGTAACAGGGTGACCGTGTGGATGTGGCAGTAAGGCGGTGGGTGTGGTGGTGTAACAGGGTGGCCGTGTGGATGTGTGGCAGTAAGGCGGTGGGTGTGGTGGTGTAACAGTGTGACCGTGTGGATGTGTGGCAGTAAGGCGGTGGGTGTGGTGGTGTAACAGTGTGACCGTGTGGATGTGTGGCAGTAAGGCGGTGGGTGTGGTGGTGTAACAGTGTGACCGTGTGGATGTGTGGCAGTAAGGCGGTGGGTGTGGTGGTGTAACAGGGTGGCCGTGTGAATGTGTGGCAGTAAGGTGGTGGGTGTGGTGGTGTAACAGGGTGGCAGCGTGGTGGTGTGGCTTAGCGGCCGGTCATGTGGCTTAGTGGCATGGTTGCACGACAGGGCGTCAGTGCGGTAGTTTGTGCCGGTGATCCAGCACTGCAGGGGCGAGGGGGCAGGTGGACCACACAACTTTGCGAACAATCCCAAAACCACCGGGACTGCGCGTTGCCCAGGAGATGGCAGCACAGCAAGCGCACATGCGTGTGAACACGCATGTGCGGACCGCCGAGTGTTTTCCTTCTCATCTTTCACGGTGGGCAAGTCTCCGGATACTCTGGTCATCACCGGCACAAAGCGCGACTCCACCGCCGACAACGACTTGACCCCAAACATTCCCAGCGCGGGAGCCTCTGGCAGTTGGCGACCCTCGCCCCGGACAAACGAGAGACGTCGCGACAACTGCACAACACGGCCGCCGCCCACCTTGATCGCCTCCATCTCAGCCGGCGTGGGTCCCGCCTTCTTTTTCTCAAGCACCAACCCGGCACCCGGAGTGAAGCTTTGGGGGGGGGAGACACGGGGGCGGAGACACGGGGGGGGAGACACGGGGGGGAGACACGGGGAGGGACACACGGGGGGGAGAGACACGGGGGGGAGAGACACGGCGGGGAGAGACACGGGGGGGAGACACACGGGGGGGAGACACACGGGGGGGAGACACACGGGGGGGAGACACACGGGGGGGAGACACACGGGGGGGAGACACACGGGGGGGAGACACACGGGGGGGAGACACACGGGGGGGAGACACACGGGGGGAGACACACGGGGGAGAGACACACGGGGGGGAGAGACACACGGGGGGGAGAGACACACGGGGGGGGGGAGACACACGGGGGGGAGACACACGGGGGGGAGACACACGGGGGGGAGAGACACGGGGGGGAGACACACGGGGGGAGACACGGGGGGAGACACACGGGGGGGAGACACACGGGGGGGAGACACACGGGGGGGAGACACACGGGGGGGAGACACACGGGGGGGAGACACACGGGGGAGAGACACACGGGGGAGAGACACACGGGGGAGAGACACACGGGGGGAGAGACACACGGGGGAGAGACACACGGGGGGAGAGACACACGGGGGGGAGAGACACACGGGGGGGAGAGACACACGGGGGGGAGAGACACACGGGGGGGAGAGACACACGGGGGGGGAGACACACGGGGGGGAGACACACGGGGGGGAGACACACGGGGGGGAGACACACGGGGGGGAGACACACGGGGGGGAGACACACGGGGGGGAGACACACGGGGGGGAGACACACGGGGGGGAGACACACGGGGGGGAGACACACGGGGGGGGAGACACACGGGGGGGAGACACACGGGGGGGAGACACACGGGGGGGAGACACACGGGGGGGAGACACACGGGGGGGAGACACACGGGGGGGAGACACACGGGGGGGAGACACACGGGGGGGAGACACACGGGGGGGAGACACACGGGGGGGAGACACACGGGGGGGAGACACACGGGGGGGAGACACACGGGGGGGAGACACACGGGGGGGGAGACACGCGGGGGGGAGACACGCGGGGGGGAGACACGCGGGGGGGAGACACGCGGGGGGGAGACACACGGGGGGGAGACACACGGGGGGGAGACACACGGGGGGGAGACACACGGGGGGGAGACACGCGGGGGGGAGACACGCGGGGGAGAGACACACGGGGGAGACACCGGAAAATACGGTAGGACACGGGGAGATGTGCGGACATACGGGGAGACACATTGACACACGGAGAGACAGGGAGAGATATGGGGAGACACAGGGACACACCAGAAAACATGGTAGAACACGAGGACACAGAGAGATGTGTGGACACATTTTGGAGATGTGTAGACACACAGGGAGACACGCAGACACACACGGAGACAGAGAGAAATGAGGAGAGACATGGGGATACAAGAGGATACACGGACAAGGGGACAACAGAGGAAGAGGTGTGGACACGCAAGGAGATAACGAGACATGGGGACATCCAAGGAGACACAAGGACAAACAAAGACACACACGCAGACATTCAAGGGAGCATGGAGAGGCATGCGCACGAACAACAACAAAAAAACTAATTAGTCAACACTTTAGTGTCAGCAGCTTTCCAGCTCGAGGCAATGACCACGTGTAGCATCTGTTCATAGCTGTTTAATATCCGAGCGAAACTTTATTATCCAAATCCGCTGTGGTTAATTTGTGGTTCAGAAAGGAGGGGGGGGGGGCGGTTCCCAGCTTTGTAACATGTGACAACTTTTTCAGGACCAGTCTTAAGATGAAGCCAACACAGCAACTGTCCTCGTAAATGTTTTAACGACGCCAAATTCAGAAGCCTTGTCCCTAGCACTATGATCCTGAAACCTGGTTTTACGGAATCAATTCTCAATCAAGACTCGGATTCTCAAACCCGAGCTCCTCGAATCAAATCTCAAATCGAGAATCCGATCATTAAACTGGGTTTCAAGACGTTGATCCTGACACACAGTTTTCTGAAGCTACATTTCAAGACACCGGATCCTCAAAAGCTGGCCCCCTTCTGGGGCCCGAGACACTTAATCGAGACTCCGATCCTGAAAACCAGGTCCCCAAGAACGCCGATCTTGAAAAAGCGGACAAAGCTTTAAGGTGCAAGCAGCCCAACCCGTCACGGAGCGGATGTACGAAATCCCATTCACCGCAGCGTGATGCATCATCGTGCCAAAACCTCGGTGGCTAAATAAAGTTTCGCTTCCGCATCGCACTGTGGTAATTGTGTAGTGTCTGTTTTTATGTTTAATGTCCGATCGTGGCGGGCTGTGGCAAGGCGCGGAAGGGCAAGCGAAACTAAACCAGAAAACTTTAGAAAGTTAAACACGCGCAGCCCAATCTGCAATTCTCCCCCGCCGCTCTGATAAAATTTTACCCGACGATTTCGACGGCCAATCGGATTGCTTCGAAATGACGTCGCGCCCCGTTGCTTGGAGCAATCTAGCGCAACCGCGGGGCCGCCGCTCCTGCGCGCTCGGTAACGAGCGGTTACGCCGCGTGCCGAACGTCCGATGTAGATTCGTACATTTTGGCCCCTTTGCAGAGGTCGCAACCGGGTACCCGATACCCGTACCCTACCCGATACCCGGCTACCCATACCTGGCCGGGTACGGGTAGCCGTTTGCGACCCTGGTGCGGCCGGGTACGGGTAGTTCGTGAGTCACTGGTGAGTAAGTGTTTGTCACTCATTTCGGGTAGGGTACGGGTAGGGAACGGGAACCCGTACCCGGCCGGGTACGAGTACCCATTTGCGACCCTGGTGCGGCCGGTTACGGGTACGGGTAAAGAATCAAAACCCGTTTGCGACCTCTGCCCCTTTGTAGGTCGAGATCGGAAAATTCAGCCTCGTTTATGCGCAACGGACTGGCGCCTGCAACCGACCGAAGGATCTACCCGGCGGTGATTTTGTTGGCTCCGACAAAGCCCATCTCTGTGTCAACTATCACGTGTGTTCCACTTGCCCCTCTCACCAGCCACGGCCCAACCACGGCCATCGCAAGCTTCCCATTACCAGCGCCACCTTTCCTAAAATGAACTTGAACTTTTGATGGATTTGGCGGCAATCACGTTCCAGTCGTGTTGCCGTTGTGGGGGGCCAAAAATTGTCACGGCGCAGGAGGTAATTTCTGCGCGTAACCCTCGAAAGAGAATCGGAGCCACCACCTTACATCAGGGGAGCTTTCGTGGGAAGATGACGTCGCAGAAATACTTCAAGCTGCCTCTCCGATCCACACTAGAGGCGCCCGTTACCTTCTCAGATGCCCCGCTACGCAAGAATCGAAACCCCAGTTTTAGTCGGACTTTGCCGAAACCCGGCAACCTCCGACGAACGATCCGCGGCACGGTGGCTAAAGGTGGCACGGATTGTGGGGCGCGGCCTGACGATGGTCGACAGTCAATGCATCTTACGTCTTTGCCGTGTTCACTCCTTCCTTAGTGGAGAGAAGAACGGATTTCTTTCCCTTAAACAACCTCTCAGCCTCCTGTCTCTCCTGTGGCTCGGGGCCACAGCGCACACACAAAACACGCACGCACATGAACACAAACGCACACGAACACACACACGCGTGCACCATCACAGTCGTTTCAAAGTCGAGTGGTTTCCTGCTCGAATCGAGCAAAATACGGAGTTCTCGTCGCCCATTAAACACAAAAACACGAACAATCGCGCGCACGGATTCTGTAAATGCTTTCGCACGCGTGTTTTGTTTGTCACCAGAAGCATCATCGACGGATGCGATACATTTCAAGCTGCACGAAACATCATATATAAGTGTCAGCAACAACGACATCGTTGCGCGAAATCAGGTCATCATCTTGACCGGCCACGTACAAATAAATATTCTGATCCCGATTCCTCTTCGACGCTGGTCGCAAATCGCCAAAGTTGTGGGCAACCCTTTTTTCCAGTTGCCTCTAGGAGGCAACTTTCACGCTCAAGTTGAATTCGTATCGAATCTTCACGAGCGTTACCACATTCCATCGTCTTATCTACACCGTCTCGTACGTGTCGTGTGTCTTGATTGTACCGTCCCGTTTCATTCTGACCTTCTTGTGTCTTGCGTGTCTGTCTCGACTGTATTAATCATAATCGCGTCAACTTGATGTGCCGTCAGTGTCCGCTCGACTCAAGGAGGCATCAGAGTTGACCACAGTGGAGCGGAAGGGGCAGCAGCAGCCAGGCAGTGAGTCGGTGCCAAATCCCCTCCCCACCCAAGCTCTGTGGCTCTCTATATATTAAGATGTTATCGGCCAATTAGTGAACGTTTACATTGTCGCTCACATTTGTATTCATATTCTTGGTTCTTTCGGTAAAGTCACGTAGAAGGGAAACAATAAAATAATAAAAAAATTGAAAACAATTAAATTATCACGACGTTTCGACTGTAACACAAGCAATCATCTTCAGGTGTGAAATCCACAGCAAGAATTTTCTTGCAAGAAAATATATAAATGTGTCGTGTTCTTGCAAGCAAATTCTTGCTGTGGATTTCACACCTGATGACGATTGCTTGTGTTGCAGTCGAAACGTCGTGAGAATTGTTTTGTTTTATATTTTTATTATTTCCCTTCTACGTGACTTTACCGAAAGAACCAAGAATATGAATCCCTGCAGTCACGATGCTTTTAACAGCATTGTCACCCGGGTCTGTATAGTCTCGTTTGCATCCTCCATCCCGTCTGGATCGCAACGGCCTATTGTCTCGCATGTTCCGTCATATTAATTCCGTTTCATACGCTCCACGAATCTGAATGCGATACGGGGCATGTCATCCTCACTCAAAAAGTATGGATCCTTGCAGTCATGAAAACTTCTAATCTAGAATCATGTCATCCTCACTCAAAAAGTATGGATCCTTGCAGTCATGAAAACTTCTAATCTAGAATCATGTCATCCTCACTCAAAAAGTATGGATCCTTGCAGTCATGAAAACTTCTAATCTAGAATCATGTCATCCTCACTCAAAAAGTATGGATCCTTGCGGTCATGAAAACTTCTAATCTAGAATCATGTCATCCTCACTCAAAAAGTATGGATCCTTGCGGTCATGAAAACTTCTAATCTAGAATCATGTCATCCTCACTAAAAAAGTATGGATCCTTGCGGTCATGAAAACTTCTAATCTAGAATCATGTCATCCTCACTCAAAAAGTATGAATCCTTGCAGTCATGAAAACTTCTAATCTAGAATCATGTCATCCTCACTCAAAAAGTATGGATCCTTGCAGTCGTGAAAACTTCAAATCTAGAATCATGTCATCGTCACTCAAAAAGTATGGATCCTTGCGGTCATGAAAACTTCTAATCTAGAATCATGTCATCCTCACTCAAAAAGTATGGATCCTTGCGGTCATGAAAACTTCTAATCTAGAATCATGTCATCCTCACTCAAAAAGTATGGATCCTTGCAGTCATGAAAACTTCTAATCTAGAATCATGTCATCCTCACTCAAAAAGTATGGATCCTTGCGGTCATGAAAACTTCTAATCTAGAATCATGTCATCCTCACTCAAAAAGTATGGATCCTTGCGGTCATGAAAACTTCTAATCTAGAATCATGTCATCCTCACTCAAAAAGTATGGATCCTTGCAGTCATGAAAACTTCTAATCTAGAATCATGTCATCCTCACTCAAAAAGTATGGATCCTTGCGGTCATGAAAACTTCTAATCTAGAATCATGTCATCCTCACTCAAAAAGTATGGATCCTTGCGGTCATGAAAACTTCTAATCTAGAATCATGTCATCCTCACTAAAAAGTATGGATCCTTGCGGTCATGAAAACTTCTAATCTAGAATCATGTCATCCTCACTCAAAAAGTATGAATCCTTGCAGTCATGAAAACTTCTAATCTAGAATCATGTCATCCTCACTCAAAAAGTATGGATCCTTGCAGTCGTGAAAACTTCAAATCTAGAATCATGTCATCGTCACTCAAAAAGTATGGATCCTTGCGGTCATGAAAACTTCTAATCTAGAATCATGTCATCCTCACTCAAAAAGTATGGATCCTTGCGGTCATGAAAACTTCTAATCTAGAATCATGTCATCCTCACTCAAAAAGTATGGATCCTTGCAGTCATGAAAACTTCTAATCTAGAATCATGTCATCCTCACTCAAAAGTATGGATCCTTGCGGTCATGAAAACTTCTAATCTAGAATCATGTCATCCTCACTCAAAAAGTATGGATCCTTGCGGTCATGAAAACTTCTAATCTAGAATCATGTCATCCTCACTCAAAAAGTATGGATCCTTGCGGTCATGAAAACTTCTAATCTAGAATCATGTCATCCTCACTCAAAAAGTATGGATCCTTGCGGTCATGAAAACTTCTAATCTAGAATCATGTCATCCTCACTCAAAAAGTATGAATCCTTGCAGTCATGAAAACTTCTAATCTAGAATCATGTCATCCTCACTCAAAAAGTATGGATCCTTGCAGTCATGAAAACTTCTAATCTAGAATCATGTCATCCTCACTCAAAAAGTATGGATCCTTGCAGTCGTGAAAACTTCAAATCTAGAATCATGTCATCGTCACTCAAAAAGTATGGATCCTTGCGGTCATGAAAACTTATAATCTAGAATCATGTCATCCTCACTCAAAAAGTATGGATCCTTGCGGTCATGAAAACTTCTAATCTAGAATCATGTCATCCTCACTCAAAAAGTATGGATCCTTGCGGTCATGAAAACTTCTAATCTAGAATCATGTCATCCTCACTCAAAAAGTATGGATCCTTGCGGTCATGAAAACTTCTAATCTAGAATCATGTCATCCTCACTCAAAAAGTATGGATCCTTGCGGTCATGAAAACTTCTAATCTAGAATCATGTCATCCTCACTCAAAAAGTATGGATCCTTGCGGTCATGAAAACTTCTAATCTAGAATCATGTCATCCTCACTCAAAAAGTATGGATCCTTGCAGTCATGAAAACTTCTAATCTAGAATCATGTCATCCTCACTCAAAAAGTATGGATCCTTGCGGTCATGAAAACTTCTAATCTAGAATCATGTCATCCTCACTCAAAAAGTATGGATCCTTGCGGTCATGAAAACTTCTAATCTAGAATCATGTCATCCTCACTCAAAAAGTATGGATCCTTGCAGTCATGAAAACTTCTAATCTAGAATCATGTCATCCTCACTCAAAAAGTATGGATCCTTGCGGTCATGAAAACTTCTAATCTAGAATCATGTCATCCTCACTCAAAAAGTATGGATCCTTGCGGTCATGAAAACTTCTAATCTAGAATCATGTCATCCTCACTCAAAAAGTATGGATCCTTGCGGTCATGAAAACTTCTAATCTAGAATCATGTCATCCTCACTCAAAAAGTATGGATCCTTGCGGTCATGAAAACTTCTAATCTAGAATCATGTCATCCTCACTCAAAAAGTATGGATCCTTGCAGTCATGAAAACTTCTAATCTAGAATCATGTCATCCTCACTCAAAAAGTATGGATCCTTGCAGTCATGAAAACTTCTAATCTAGAATCATGTCATCCTCACTCAAAAAGTATGAATCCTTGCAGTCATGAAAACTTCTAATCTAGAATCATGTCATCCTCGTCATTAACATAATCTTCAACAGCCATGATCAATCCACTGCTGGAGGGAAGCCCCCGCCCCCAGGCCTAACGCCAATCTTTCACGGCCCTGTGACCGCAACAATCCACCGAGCGACTAAGAAAAGGTGAGGCACAGGCAACGTGGAACCACTCCAACTCACCTTGAGTTTCACCTTCTGGAAGTCGAGGACCCGGACCTGCGGGAGTTTGTAGACGGTGTAGAGGCGGTAATTTTTCTTGGTCGTCACGGGATTCCTGAGCAGACTGAATGAACAAAGCCGCCGTGATTCCCACACGCACGCGCTTACAATGCCACTGCATATCCCCTCCCTTTGATGCTGCTAATCCTGCATAATGCACGGGCATAAGTAGTACTAATCACATACCTGCATTTCCCATAAATATGCTAAATTCCTCTTGATATGCAAATTCCTTTGTCAAGGCGCTCTTCCCCCTCCAACCCAGCTTAAATATACTCTGCCAAGCCTGGTGGTGTTTCATTCAGACGCTGTCTTTCCGACAGACCTGTTCTTCACCTGAGGACGGCTGCTTGCGTTGTGGCCGAAACGTCGTGAGAATTGAATTTTATTATGTTTTATTTTTATTAGTTTATTATTTCCATTCTACGTGACTTTACCGAAAGAACCAAGAAGATGAATACCACTGTAGGACACGTGTACGTGTGTGTGCGCTGAAACTTCTTTCGCACCGTACGCAGCCGAACGTGCTAATTGGAGGTGCGCGTTGACGCGTCGCATCTACAATCGACGACGTCTCGCGACGCTGTTTCACACAGCAGGAATCGCGGGAACGTGGGGCATCCTGGGTAAATGAGGCACACTAGTTTTATTTAAACATGCTAGAATTGCCGCTGCCTGCGGCCGCCTTATTCTAGCTCCCGCGGAGGGCTTTTCGGCGCCTCGCCCCTACCCATGTCCTCTTCTCTATGCCTACAAAACACTTGTTTTTGGGGGAGGGGAGTGATATTTTTTTGGGTGGGGGGTCAACAATTGTTGATCACCTGTTGGATCAAGTTTTGACCCATCTCATCTGGGGGGTGGGGGGTCCACTTTCTATAACTGTTCAATTCAGGCCTTCTGAAAGGCTCTTCTCGTTTAGTTGACGGGCAAACGGAACGCCGGGCTTTTATGATGGAAATGCTCAATAAATGGAAAATTGCGTATTTCAGGATAATGCACGGAACCATTGACAAAACACGAATTTGATTGATCATACTGGTTCAGAGGCCTCTTATAATTCAGTTGACGGACAATCGAAACGCCGGGCTTTTACAATAGATACAAAGAGGCAGTCGGTCATAGGCCGAGGGAAAGAGGATGATATTGAGCCTGGACTTTAAAATCAGAATCTTTATTTAGACTGGAGGAATCCGATGAGCGATGAGGCTCTTTTTGACAGATGTCCAGTTGGAGCAGGTCAGCTAGTTGCATGAACAAAAAATATAAGAGAAAGAAAAGGTAAGCAAGTCGCCGAAATAAGATAAATGTAAATAAAGTACAAATTGAACAAGTAAACCCGTAAAAACAAAGTCTTTCACTATAAATCCTTTATATGCGTGGCATCGGGGCGGCTAGAGTCCTCTCGTCCTCTGGCTTGAGATGGCTGCCACCTATGGGTCAGATGATTGCCTCGCAGCATTAAACAATTGGTAATTAAATATTTTTAAAAAATTCCCTAAACAGTGTAAAATTTTGGAAAAAAAATTTCACGAAAATACATTGTCACGCACAACGAGTCTGTGTGCAAAATGTCAGCTCGATTGGATCACGGGAAGTGGGTTAAAAAACGACCGAAAGATTTGCACGGTCCTAAGCAAGCAAGCAAGCGAACTTAATATAAAGGATTTAACAAATACACAAATTCCTGCCGATTTGTCAACACCAAATGCAAGCTTGGGACAAGGCAGCAAAACAACGACGACTTCAATAGGCAGGGAGTTGGCGGGGAGAGGGGGGGAAGGGCCGAAGGCTCGCAGCTAACACGAGGCCACGGAGCGGAGTACGCACCTGAGGAAGCGTAACGACTTGAGGGAGGACAGAGGGTCCAGTTCCGTCTGAAAAGATTCGAGAGGAAACAAAAATGCATGGCGACGCGAATGTTAAGTTTGCTGACAAATTATCACATTATTGACTTGTAATTCCCTCCCCCCCCCCCCCCACCATGTACATTAAAGGGAACGTTGGGGGGCGTTTGTCTTAGAATCCTAAAAAAACTGTTTCTCCACAGAGGAACACAGAAGATTATAGAGACGAAAGGCACCAACAGCCACTCAGAATCATCAGAATCATCTTCCAGAATGCATCTCTCCACTTTATCAGCTTCCGGAAGATGGCTTTTACATCGCAATACGTGATATTCCAGGAGACACGGTTTAACTTGGCTATTCCCAATAATCTTGCATAAGACATCTTTCCCCATTTTCAAGTAGCATGTTCATTATCATCTTTTCGAATGCAGCTCTACGTGGTACTGTATTTTACTGGTAGGAATCTCCTGGTTACACCAGCCCACAAGGGATTATTGTGTCTGTCGTGCAGGGAGGGGCTGGGTGGGGAGGGGAGGGTGGGGAGTGGTGGGGCTGGGTGGGGAGGGGCTGGTCACCCCGTGGTGCCCTTATAAAACTCAACGTTTAACCTACTCACGCCGGCTTGTGCCCGCCCTCACAGTCGGGCATATTTGCGGAATACACTACGTCGCCGTTGACCCTGACCATTGACCGAGCAACCCAACGTTCCTACCAGCTCCCTCCGCAGGAATGTGTTACACCATTTTCTCAGTTGTTCACTCTATATTTCACGAATCTCTATTATATGTTTGTTTAATGACACAAACATTTGGGCTGCGTCCGATTTGTCGGAACATCTCACAACCTTGGAGAATACGGTAAGAGGTAAAAGGTACTCTCGTTTCAAACGGAGTTGCACGCCAAGTCCCGGAGTGGGGTCAGATATCGTTCGCCACAGAGGCTGAAAAGTCATGGCCGGGAATCAAACTCCGGTTGCATAAACAAGACTGCAGCGTGCCAACCAGTGCCCCCACCTCACCGACCCCCGCGGTGAAAATATGTCAAGCAACTCCCACAATCATCACTCCGTGGTGGGAGGCCTCGGGTGAAAGGTTAGGGGTCAGGGGTTTGGGTCAAAACCGTCGTGGATAAACGTGGGTTTAATGGATGGCATCTCACTAGCTCCTGTAGGTTGTTGTTTGTAAGAATGAGCTCGTTGAGGCTTGGCAGACTTTGATCCAGGCTCTCAGAAAAACGGCTGCACGCGCAGACAGAGAAGAAACGGACAAACACACGGGGAGAAACAGATCCACCGTTAAGCCCTTTAAGACTGTTCAGGCAAGTGCTATAGCCATGCAGTTAGAATAACAACAATCAGGAATTTAAAAAAAGCATAATTCAATCAAACAACAACGCTGCACAATCGGAAAACATGGAGGTGCAAACATACTCTTAGGTTACTTCGGTAAAGTCACGTAGGTAAAAAATCAAATTAAAAGTTAATAAAAATAATAATGGAAATAAAATAAAAAATCACGACGTTTCGGAGGCAACACAAGTCTCCGTCATCAGGTGGGACCGTCACAGCTAAAATTACTGCATCAATATTTTCAAATCTAGAATGGAGGTGCAGGTACATTTAAATGTTTCAAAGCCAATTAATGAGTGTTCATACATGTGCGAGGAATCCTGAACGCCAGGAGAAAACCCCACACACGTTTAGAGCAATACTCTTATACTGGTAGGAACGAAGTGAACCAGCCTACAATAGATTATATCGTCCGTTCGTCCGATGTCCGATTAGGTGTAGCAACATCGCCCCCTACTGCAAACACTTGGCAGGACCCTACAAAAACCTTTAGACTCAGTGAGGCTTTCCTGGCTAACCAAGTGTAACATTCCCTTATAATTCCCTGAGATAGTTTTTTAATTCCCTGAGATAGTTTTTAATTAAAACATTTAAATTAAAAATTAACTCATTCCCTGAGATAGTTTTTAATTAAAACATTTAAATCAAAAATTAACTCACAGCGGCCTAAAGCCTACAGCTAGGCCTAAAGCCTAGAACTAGGCCTCAAACTCTCCCTTCGTATCGTACCCCCGTGTGTGTAAAGGAGTTATGTTTAACAATGTTACATTCCCTCATGTTTTTAAATAGAAACATTTAAATTTAAAGCTTTTACATAAATCATTAAAACATTTAAATTAAAAATTAACTCACAGCGGCCTAAAGCCTACAGCTAGGCCTAAAGCCTAGAACTAGGCCTCAAACTCTCCCTTCGTATCGTATTTGTTCGTTCCTACCAGCCCACCCCACAGCAGGGACCTGTTATCACACAGACGGAACAGACGAAGAGAATAATAATCCACACTCTGCTGTACCGCCCTCTCCTGGCGAGCCAGGGTATTTCACCTCGACACACACGGGAAGGGAAGTTTCTACAGGTAGGAACAATGCTCCACACTGCCCACCAGGGATTTTTTGTCTGTCTGTCTGTCGTGCATAAATAAATATATAATACACACAGCTCTTTGATTGGTGGAGACCTACTGCCGGGTAAGGAGAGGGGAGGGGCCTAAGGGAGGAGGGTGAGGGGAGGGGCCTAAGGATATGGGGGGGGGGTCAGGGGAGGGGCCTGAGGGAGGGGGGTCAGGGGAGGGGCCTAAGGGAGGGGGGGTCAGGGGAGGGGCCTAAGCGAGGGTGCGGGGCCGATAGTTAAGGGGGCTGGCTACCTGGCTGGCTGCCTGGCTACCTCAAGTCAAGTTATCTTTTATACAGGTAGGAACAACAGGTTCCACACTGCCCACCAGGGATTATTTGTCTGTCTGTCGTGCACGAATGCGCTGTCCAACCAAGTTCCTACCTGCCCACTCCGAAGGAACGTGTTCAATATTCGTGTGACCCACCCAACCATCATCTCGTCATTGCCAGGTTACAGGTACTCATCGTGGTGTCGTAGTCAGCATCACACGCAGCCTTCCCTGTTTCCCGAATGCTGACGCTGTGTGCATCTGGTACTTGTTTAAGAACTATTCGGTTTCGGGAAGGGCCAGGAACTAATTGTTCGCACGCTACTTGCCACTGACGTTGGTCATGGCATGGAATCAAACGTCTTTATTTTCATATCAGTATGTGTATCTGTGAATCTGTGCGTGCGTAGTTATCTGTAGTTGTGTGTATCTGTGTGTATGTATCTGTAGCTGTGTGTGTATTTATTTGTATCGGTGTGTATTTATTTGTAGCGCTGTGTATCTGTGTGTGTATGTATCTGTATCTGTGTGTGTATGTATCTGTAGTTGTGTGTGTATGTATCTGTAGTTGTGTGTATCGGTGTGTGTATGTATCTGTGTGTGTATGTATCTGTTTGTATCTGTAGCGGTATGTATCTCTGTGTATGTATCTGTATCTGTGTGTGTATTTATCTGTAGCGGTGTGTATCTCTGTGTGTATGTATCTGTATCTGTGTGTGTATGTATCTGTATCTATCTGTGTGTATGTATCTGTATCTGTGTGTATGTGTCTGTATCTGTGTGTGTATGTATCTGTAGCTGTGTGTGTATTTATCTGTAGCTGTGTGTGTATGTGTCTGTAGCTGTATGTGTATTTGTCTGTAGCTTTGTGTATGTACCTGTAGCTGTGTGTGTATTTATATCTGTGTGTGTATTTACCTGTAGCTGTGTGTATCAGTGTAAGTGTGTGTGGGGTCCCTACCACACACGGTTGTTGTTAATGATAAGTGACTTGAGCCTCCTGAGCAGAGGGAATCCGTCGATCTTGCGGATCTCATTGTCCGAGAGGTCGATGGTGTCGAACTGATCCAGAGTCGCTCCAAGGTTTTCGATCACCGGGATCTTATAGCCTAGGGGGTCAAGGGTTAAGCACCTTTAGCATCAATATTACACAACCCTCCTCACCACAACACCACCGCCACCATCATCACTGCAATGATTATTAGGCATCATTGCTATCAACAGAGTAACCGAATTCATTTTGATCACCCTTCTCACCACAACCACTTTTATCACCATCACAATTACGTTCATCAGCATCACAATCGCCACAATTCTCACCACCAACTTTTCACTATTACCGCCATCAGTACTGCATAATAAGCACCTTACAAATAATCGCCTTCGTAAATAACATCGTGTTATTATTACCGCCAACACAAGCAATGTCACACCACGTTAACGTCACCAATAACCATCTCATTACCGGCATTGCCTCAAATTAATCACTCCCTTTTCAGTAACGCCAAAGTGCGGCCAACCTACACACCTGGGGCGAACGTGACCGTGCCACACTGTGGATGCGGCAAGCGACAATGTGGCACACTGCCTATCAGTGCTCCCCCCCGGGACTGGACACAAGACGGTGGTATTTGGCCTACTTTTCCACGCTGGTCAAGTCTTGGAAGCGGTGGGAATACCCACACTCTGCCCGAACGTATGGCACCTTCCAATCGACAAACTGTCCAGCACCAATTTCCACTCCCTGGGTCGACAAAGAGTCGGGAGGGGGCGATTTAAGGAACGCGTGATGATGATGATGATGAGAGAGAGAGACACGCAAACTCCAAATATACAGCAGCAGTCGTCAGGGTTGGGATCGAACTCACGACCTCCTGCACACCAGGCGAGGTAGTTAACATCTCCTAGCCACCGTGATGATGATGAGAGAGAGAGACACGCAAACTCCAAATATACAGCAGCAGGCGTCAGGGTCGGGATCGAACCCACGACTTCCTGTACACCAGGCGAGGTAGTTAACATCTCCTAGCCGCCGTGATGATGATGAGAGACACGCAAACTCCAAATATACATCAGGCGTCAAGGGTTGGGATCGAACCCAGGGACTTCCCGTGTACTAGGCGAGGTAGTTAACATCACATAGCCACCGTGATGATGAGAGACACGCAAACTCCAAATATACAGCAGCAGGCGTCAGGGTCGGGATCGAACCCACGACTTCCTGTAGACCAGGCGAGGTAGTTAACATCTCCTAGCCGCCGTGATGATGAGAGACACGCAAACTCCAAATATACAGCAGTGGTCAGGGTGGGGATCGAACCCAGACCTCCTGCACACCAGGCGAGGTAGTTAACATCTCCTAGCCACCGTGATGATGATGAGAGAGACACGCAAACTCCAAATATACAGCAGCAGGCGTCAGGGTGGGGATCGAACCCACGACATCCTGCACACCAGGCGAGGTAGTCAACATCTCATAGCCACCGTGGCGTTCTGGACTATCCCGTTTGATACTCGCTCAACATCAGTGGCCATCGATGAACTCGGGCAAGTTCGATTCCCGAATAAGGCGAACATCGGTGGCGAGAGAGATAATCTGTTGAGTCCTGGCCACCGCCTCCACCGAAACCGTGGCGACCAGCGCGGTGAAGTATGTGAACCTCCCCCACCACCACCACCACTATCGACACGGCCGGCGTTTCATCCAGCAGTGGATTACCAACACCACACAGCCGTCTACGATTGCCAAGTGAAACTTCCACGTGGCCGAGAACCCGCGAACGCACGAAAACGCTCACGCCACTGCGAGCGGCTACTTTAAACAAAAAATCAACCCCCGAAACAATTGCACACTTTAAAAACAACAGCACCCCTCCTCCACAACGTTATTCTATCGAAAAAAAACACTTCAAAGCCGCACTTTTCTTTAACAAACACAAAATTAATGTTAAAAACTGCGGGCCTTGGCTTTCGCGAGAAGCCTGCCGTCGCCTAGCCGCCCTCCCCGCCGCCGTCACCTCTGAGGTCCAGTTCCCGGTCGCGCACGGGGTTCGTGAACTGCGCCGCCTGCTCGATCAGCTCCGCCGTGAGCTTCACCATCGCGAGGTGGTTTCTTTAGAGCGCTCTGACTGACGCCGACCACGACGATTCGGGTGGTTTTCGTGTCGGAAAAGTGCGAGAGGCCTTTCAATTCGATGGCGCGCAGCGTGGGCCCAAGTCTCGCGAGACTCCCGTTGCGGTCTTCCGGTCGTTTTTTTTATTTATACCGGTAGACCGCTTACTCGTCTTCCGGAAGAGGAAGTTGTCTTCCGGAAGATTAGGAAGACGTCTTCCGGGAAAGATGAGGAAGACGTCTTTCGAACTTCTGGAAGACGTCTTCTATGGGAACCGGTTCCGTATCTCTTAACATGGCCCCATAGAATTCCTATGGGAACCGGTCCCCTATCTTTTAACATTGCCCCATAGACTTTCTATGGGAACCGGTTCCCATAGACTTTCTATGGGAACCGGTCCCCTATCTCTTAACATTGCCCCATATACTTTCTATGGGAACCGGTCCCCTATCTCTTAACATTGCCTCATAGACTTTCTATAGGAACCGGTTCCCATAGACTTTCTATGGGAACCGTTTCCCTATCTCTTAACATTGCCCCATTAACTTTCTATGGGAACCGTTTCCCTATCTCTTAACATTGCCCCATAGACTTTCTATGGGAACCGGTTCCCTATCTCTTAACATTGCCCCATAGACTTCCTATGGGAACCGGTTCCCTATCTCTTAACATTGCCCCATAGACTTCCTATGGGAACCGGTTCCCTATCTCTTAACATTGCCCCATAGACTTTCTATGGGAACCGGTTCCCTATCTCTTAACATGGCCCCATAGACTTTCTATGGGAACCGGTTTCCTATCTCTTAATATGCCCCATAGACTTTCTATGGGAACCGGTTCCCTATCTCTTAACATGGCCCCATAGACTTTCTATGGGAACCGGATCCCTATCTGTTAACATGGGCCCATAGACTTTCTATGGGAACCGGTTCCCTATCTCTTAACATGGCCCCATAGACTTTCTATGAGAACCGGTTCCCTATCTCTTAACATTGCCCCATAGACTTTCTATGAGAACCGGTTCCCTATCTCTTAACATGGCCCCATAGACTTTCTATGGGAACCGGTTCCCTATCTCTTAACATAGCCCCATAGACTTTCTATGGGAACCGGATCCCTATCTGTTAACATGGGCCCATAGACTTTCTATGGGAACCGGTTCCCCATCTCTTAACATTGCCCCATAGACTTTCTACGTCTGACCCCCCTCCCCCCTTGGTGCGTGACGTCATTTATGGACGGCCCTATCACGTCAATATCTATGTTTTATGACGTCATTGATCGCATCGCGTGACGTTGCATTCGCGTGTTACCATTTGCTAAATGACGTCATCAACTGAACTACCTTTATGACGTCATTATCCATGTTTTACTACGTCATTGAACGCATCGCGTGACGTCGCATTCGCGTGTTACCATTTGCTAAATGACGTCATCAACTGAACTACCCTTATGACGTCATCATCCATGTTTCATTACGTCATTGATCGCATCGCGTGACGCTCCGGAGGTCAAAAGTGCTTCCATTCTCCTGTCGTAGTAAGTGAGTCTCCGTCTCCTCGTGTCGTCCCTGTGTCTCCCTAGGATGTTTACGGGAGTCCCATGGCCTCAGGGGGACGCATTGGAGCCAAAATTTGCGGCTTTGGGAGAAAAGACCCCCCCCCTCATTCCCGCCAAACGAGAAAAAAAACGAGCGGCCTAGTGTGAAGCCTGCCTCGCCTGTCAGCGCTGCCGGGATTTAGTGGCCTCGCCCGGCACGGCCCGAGGCCAATACCGAGGGTCGGGGTCTTGGGACTTTTTTGCTGCATGTTGTTGTGGGTTTAAAACAAGTGTCCGTAATGTATCCCCTTGATCTGTGCTGGACGTTCCACGTTTACTGTGGCCCGAGGTGGGAGGAAAGTCATTCCATTGCAATCAGATGTTGTTCGTGGTGGTTGATACTCGATTTAGCGGCCCAGAACACATGCCGATGGTGATGGATGCTTTGATGGTTGTTGATAGCGGTGTTGATCACTGGCGTTGATAACTAATGATGGTTATGGCTGGTGTTCATGATTACAGACCGGTTCAAGAACCAGCTTGCAGTACTGCCAGGTTCGATGGTTTAAAAAAATGTTTTAATTGCAATTAACTGTATATGCCTAAAATAAGTTAAAATGTATGGACGCTTATTTTTAGGTTTTTTCGGTAAAGTCACGTAGGTAAAACATTAAAATTAATAAAAAATAAAATAAAAATCACGACTAGATACAGCTGTCGTGGCTGTGACGGTTCCACCTGAAGACGGAAGCTTGTGTTGCCTCCGAAACGTCGTGATTTTTATTTTATTTTTATTAATTTTAATGTTTTACCTACGTGACTTTACCGAAAAAACCTAAGAATATGAATCCTTGCAGTCACGAAAGCTTCAAATCTAGAATGTATGGACGCTGCCTCGGTTGGACAGTTCGCACACTGAACTTGCAAGCCAGAGATCGCCTCTTCAATTCAACATTTTGGCGCGACATTTGAAACGGTGGGTGCAAGTTCCTTAAAACGACCCACCACGTCTGTCCACCCAAAACGTCGTGGCGAGTGTGGAAGAGTAGGCCAAATACCCCCTCCAGAGAAGAACATTCTGCTAGGATGGCATAAGTAGTTGTAGAGATGCACCTCGGGCTAATTGAGTGACCCAAAACTGTACGCACACAAAAAAACAAGACGAGAGCACATACAAAACAAGTATAACCTGTAAAAACAAAGTTTTTCACTATAAATCCTTTATATGCGTGGCGGCTAGAGGCCTCTCGTCCTCTGGCTTGAGATGGCTGCCACCTATGGGTCAGATGATTGCATTGCACCATTAAGCAATTGGTAATTAAATATAATATTTTTGTCCTAAAAAGTGTAACATTTTGGAGAAAAAAAATTTCACGAACATTAATTGTCACGCACAACGAACCTGTGTGCAAAATGTCAGCTCGATTGGATCACGGGAAGTGGGTTAAAAAACGACCGAAAGATTTGCACGGTCGTAAGCAAGCAAGCGAACTTAATATAAAGGATTTAAAAAATCAATCTTGAATTGCGAAAAAAAACATTTATTCACTTGGCAACTCAATCGATTCCATGCCCGTTGGGCACCCACCAGACCAGTTCCGCTGGGAAGGTGAGTGGGCTGGGTGTGCCCATCATCAGGAGACTCACCGCTGATGCAGGAACCAACTGGCAGTGCATTCCATTTCTGAGTGTCTCTCTGTGTCAGTGTGCTCCTCTGTTAAGTGTGCGTTTCCGTGCGAGTCTGTTGGTCTCGTATGTGTCAGTGGTTTCTTCTCGTAAGTCTTTGTGTCTATAGGGCTCTGCAAATCTATGGGTCTCTGTGGCTGTTGGTCGCTATGTGTCTGTGGTCCCCAGTGCAAGTCTATGGGTGTGTGTGTCTTTAGGTTTCGGTGTAGGTCTGTTAGTTCCTCGTTGTCATGCAACATATTTCACCATTGCCCATCCTGCCCCAGAAATTCGATATTACTATTCAGTGTCGCAGTTATATTCAATGTTTTGTTTGGCTTGTTTTGTTCATGTAATTATTCCTGTCTGTAATGTCCCCATTTTCCCCATTAGTCTAAATGTGCATTGGCACGTAATTAATATAAATTGTAATGATCAATCTTTAGATTCGCGTATCATAATTGATTAATTTGTGTGTTGTTACATGCTGAGATTGTCAACAAATTGGCTTGCTCAGATGACTCAAGTGCAGTGAGTTAAGTGATTCTCAACCCAGTCACCATTGACTGTACCAAAATGAATCTCATTAAATGTGGTGCCACATTTAATTCAGTTTAACACGTAGGCTTTCGCGACCAATATTATTCATAATCAACGTTTTGGGGTTTAGATCGCGTTATTTATAAATGTGTCGTAACCCTCCACCACCCGACACGGCCAATCAGTAAAAAAGTGTCACGTTGACAAAAGACAAATAATTCACTGCTTTAGCCCACCGGTGTGTTGAAGCGTGAAACCACAACATTTACAATTTAAGTACGACGTTTTGCTGGTAATTGCATCCAGCATCATCGGGCAATTCGCCAGAATGGTGAGGCTCTGCTCTGTCTCCCGTTTTTATATAGAGCAGCAGCAGGGTGACGTCATCATTACATTTAATTTGTTTTAATTTCGGCGCCGAGGTTTAAACATTTTTTGTTTTAATGGCACGAACATTTCTCTCATGGCAAAGCAAGCAAGAAAACTCTCTCCTGTGCAGACCAGAGGTCACTTGATGGGCTCTCAGGAGGAAGCTCTCTGGGACCCGGTCCCACGTTCCCGTTGAGTTGCACGTTTCTGCGCGAGTTTGGAATGGATAAATCATCTCGTTCTAGATTTGAAGCTTTCGTGACTGCAAGGATTCATATTCTTAGGTTTTTTTCGGTAAAGTCACGTAGGTAAAAAATGTAAATTAATAAAAGTAAAATAAAAATCACGACGTTTCGGAGGCGGCACAAGCTTCCGTCTTCAGGTGGAACCTACGTGACTTTACCGAAATCATCTCGTGACGCGATGCTGAGAGGACAACATGGGTGACGGGGGAGGGGGGGAGGGCGGATAATTGCAAAAACTTACGTGATGCTCTCTCACCCCTTCCACTTCAGGCGGTGAATGTCAAACTCGCCAAGCGCAAACGTGGCCGAGCAGCGGAGCTCAGAGACGACGCCAGGAATGGAGGCGGTGAAAGAGGCGATTCAAGGTGAGGAGGAGGAGCAGGTGGAGAGGAGCAAGGAGGCGGAGAAGGAAAATAAAGAAGATGAGGACGAGGAGGGAGACGCGGGTTGCGACGACGATTACAATCGCCTGTTCGCCCATCGCTTCACCGCGGAGGACAAGGACTTCCAAGAATTTCTCAGCCGCCCGGTGGAGTTGCCGCCCGTCGTGTGGAACTGGAGGTCGCGAGGCGGTCGCAACGATCGCCGGTTTGACCGGTCAGAGCCTCGCACGTCATCGTTATCGTCTCCTCGTTTAGCCATCGGACGCAGCGTCACCGCCGCCGCCGCCACGTCGTTACCGTCATCATTCCATCGTATGTCCACAATCGCCAACATCGCCGTTCTCACCATCGTCATCAACATCTCATTATTGTCTCATCATTGGCTCATCACCACCACC